TATTATTATTAAGGCCTTTTGTTTTTGACAATGACAAAATCAACAAAGGCACTTCCATGCAGGGGGCATTTGTTTAGGGGGGATATAAAACTTGCTTGAACCTAAGTGGGGAGGGTCCTGGAGAAGACAGTTATATACTTCAACTGTCCGTCAGTGTCTGTGTGTTCAGAGCAGTAACTGCACGTCTGACTCACACAAAAGATTCACGAGCAAACAGGTGCAATATTTTTAGTGGTGGGAAGATGGCAGCTGTCATTTGTCACAGTGTTAATGAAATAGCTCCCCGAAGAGGAAACGTGTAGCACTGGCCATTTGCTTCGCCCCAGAGGATTGTGGGTTTTTATTTGTCTATTTATCTGTCCCCGCTGTCAGGAAGGGCAGTGATGTAACAAGCGAAATATGCTTCATCTTTACTCCCACAATATCGATTAATGTACTAAAAAACAAACTGCCTCTCCCAGCAGCTGACCCGTGAGAGCTCTGACTGCGGAGTTTTCACTGATGTGTGGGACGAACGCTTCATCACAGGTTGACCTGCTCAGTGTTCCAGGTTAGAGAGGCCCTGTAGGCTGCAGCTATGTGTTTTTTAACACAATGAAGTCTCAAGATGTCAAACTGTTCCCCTGAGCTTTAAATAAAAAGATATTAAATATTAATACAAACTTTTTATAAATTGATTTATTTTGTATTAATTGAACAACACGTGTATAATTTAAGCAACTTTCTCTATTCTGCAGCTTTTGCCCAACGGGGGGCTGAAATCAGAATTGTTTTCTTCACTTATAGTGCACTATAGATGTTGTTTATCATTTCTGGATGTGAAAACCTGATTAGGCTACAATATTGAAGACAGTGACATATATTGAAATTGTTCCCATGTGAATGTTTTGCACAGTGGCATCAATACTGACCCTCCCTAACGAACAAAATTAGCTTTAGCTTAAAAAAATATTTTTTGTTCATGTTTTAGGGTCAATCAAGACACTTAAAGTCATTAACATAAAGTCATCATATACCTTTGGAATCTTTTTTTCTACAAAAGTGTTTTTTCAGCCCTGACGTGTGTGATGACACAACAAATAAACCGTCTTTTTGATGTGCAGAGACAAAAGTAAACTGGTAACGTTATATTGTAACATATTTATTCAACGAATATTTAGTGAGAGAGCATTTCAATGAAAAATCATATTTTATGATTCTCATTTGTTTCCCTCAGAGATGCTGCAGATTATTCTTCAGCTTCTTTTCCCTAAAATGGAAAGAAATAAAAATGATGAGTCATCTTAATACACATTGCCATATGTATTATAGTTTTCACCATTTAGATTAAAATAACAGCCACCAATTAGACATTTGGAGCAGTAAAACAAATGCTGCTTTCCTGTAGCACAATCAATGACAACTTGACAGTAACAACGGCTTGTTGCTCGTGATTTTTGTCTTTCTTACTTTTCCAATTTCCCGACTCTTGGCCCTCAGCTTGTTGACCTGAGACTCGGCGATGTCGGCTCGCTCCTGAGCCTCCTCCATCTCGTGCTGAACCTTCCTGTACCTGGACAGGTGAGTGTTGGCCTGCTCCTCCTGGGAGGAAATTTAACAAAAAAATCATCAAGACTGAAAATACAGAGGAAAACTAATTCTTGTAATTTACTGTCGGAGATGGTTAAACATAAATCAGTGTCATTTTTAGTTTTTAAGTTCTGTGTGTACTTCATGCAGCTTTTATTTGAGCTTTATTTGGTGTTTCTGACTCACAGCCTCCTCAGCTTGTCTCTTATAGGCCTTCACTTTCAGCTGCAGCTTGTCCACCAGATCCTGAAGTCTGCTGACGTTCTTCTTGTCCTCTTCAGTCTGCAGTAACATTGATTCATTCATAAAATGTATTCATATGCATTGCATCCAGGTTTGCACCACTCAGTTAATAGAATATGAAATACCTGATAGGTGAGCTCCTTCACTCTTCTCTCATATTTTCGAACACCCTTGACAGCCTCTGCTCCTCGTCTCTGCTCGGCGTCAACTTCAGCCTCAAGCTCACGCACCTGAAACAAAAACTGTCTGTTATCAAAATATAATACGGAAACAAAAGCAGAGGCGTGCGTGCCGGGCAAATTCCTGTTTACCCTAGCCTCCAGTTTCTGGAGCTGCTTCTTGCCGCCCTTCATGGCCAGATTCTCAGCTTCATCAAGGCGATGCTGCAGGTCCTTCACTGTCACCTCCATGTTCTTCTTCATCCTCTCCAAATGAGAGCTGGTGTCCTGCTCCTTCTTCAGTTCCTCTGCCATCATGGCCGCCTGATATTTTGAAGAATTTCAGATTGTTTAAACTGTCRAAGAACTTAAATGTAAAAAATGATGACTGACATATGTTATGATACTCACATCAGTGATGGCCTTCTTGGCCTTCTCTTCAGCATTTCTTGCTTCCTGAACAGCATCCTCTACTTCACCCTGGATCTGAATGAGGTCAGCCTCCAACTTCTTCTTGGTGTTGATGAGGCTGGTGTTCTGATAGAAAAATATTTTTGATCATAAGGTATACTGTAAATGTTAGGTTGCTAGGTGTCCCACATTGCTTGACCCTTTATTTACCTGAGAGTGCAGGAG